TGAAATATCCCACCCGCCTCCTCCAGTCAAAAATATGTTATTGTTCCTTCTCTTGGATGTTTGAGCTTCACTGTGCAGAATGATGTATGTGCAGAGTCTGACACTAGAAGGATGTTTTCAGATTTATCTGCTGAAAGTGGAAAGTTTCTCTGTGCTCAATGACAATCTGTATTTTAATGGTGCTACCAGCATGATTTGTGACATCACAAATAGTTTGAAAATCCATCCTGGTCCATTATGCAACTTCTACAAGTGTGATATAGAATGCACATACACTGAGAATGGACTTTACAGTGAAGTAGGAGACATCTTGTATTCAGCAGGGAAACTTGAAATGAAATGAAATATTGCATATTCATAGATTCTGGTAGAGGGACTAATGTATTTTAATGTTGACATTTTGTGGGAAAAGCACATTACACATTATTGTTCCAAGCAGACTATTTGTATACAGTATGTCTTGTATGTCTGGAGGGAATCTTAAAGATTCATCCCTCTTAAGGTCATTATTACCAATTTCTAGTACCTTCTGCTATTTCCTGACAACTGAAGCCTGTGGTTATGTTTTCTATTATTTATAGGGACAGCAGTGAGCTGAAGACTGTCTTTTTATTGGGACAGGGAGCAAAGGTTGTTGTTTTTCAGGTCTTTGTATTGCTACACAGAACTTACTTTGGCCTTTTGTAATATTAAAAAAATGTGTTTGTCCCAGAGGGCTAAAGGTGGTCTTCTAAAACTAAACATTGATGTAATGACAAAAGACATGCAGGGCAGTATCGAACAATGTCAGTGTTAAAAAGGTCATCTGTCTCCAAAGGGATGAAGACTTTAGCCAAAACAACTCAAAGGTTTCTTTTTTTGTTGTTTTTTAGTCAAGCTAGGGGCGGTCAGTTCACCACTTTGGTCCAGACTGAAATATCTGTGTGATGGATTTCCATGAAATTACATTGGCATTGTACAGACATATGGTCCCAGAGGATGAATCCTAATGACTTTGGCTTAAATTAGCTTGGTTAACATGGGAAACATTAGCAAGTGGTGCTCACTGCAGAGCCAGATGGATGGAGCTTGACCTAATCCAGCTCCACCTCTCTGTACAAAAACACAACCGATTTTGGTGAAACTGGATCATATTTTATGGAGAAAATATTTTTTGGGTTTCCCTCCAATGTCTTTTGGCTGCTGCTTTACAGAGTTTCCTGTTGGATAGATGGCTTTCTAACTGCTAACATTAACTGGCGCTGTAGCTGTTGTTAGTGGGCAACGGAACCAGGGTCAGCAGCCTTGTGGATGGACCGGGAGGTTGGGAGTTTAACCACTGACTCTACTCTGTTTGCTGGGTTGGCTAGCTGCATGGCTAACAGCCAACAATTAGCAGCAGTTAGTTATAAACTAGGCAAATTTCCCTGTTGGTCTCTGAGTCTGTGTTCGGCCCTGGTCCAGCCAGACTGGACTTTGCTGGACTAGGTCAACCATTGGCTCTGCAGTGAGCAGCCTCTCAATATTAGCTTCTGTAAGCATCTGTGTAACATCTAAGCATGTTAGCCTTGTCATTGTGAACCGGTGAGCAAGCTGATCTTAGCATTTACCTCACAGCACCACTGTGTCTAAACCCTCACCGGACACTAGAAAGAGATGTGTTCGTTAATTTTCCATCACTCCTCCAGGTATGAAAGTGTAGAGCTGTGGGGGTGTGTGAACAGGGGAATCCTGAAACTGAGAGCATTGCTCAAATTGAAACTTCCCTGGAAGGTTAAAAAAAAACTCCACTAGCAATAAAATCACCTGTTCCGTAAGGTCTTTCTCAAGTGGTCAGAAACGTCTGTATAGCTTATGAACATTAGTGTCTCCATGATCCCGTTTTATTATTGTTTTATTATCATCAACTTCTTCTCCATCTTCACAAACACACTGCTTTTATTTCCAGCTGAAACAAAATTCCACAAGAAAATAGTTTTCTTTTTCTTTTTTTAGTCCCAGGAGCAGTTCAGCTCTGCAGCCATACATGGTGAAATGCCAGACTGCTCTGGCCTAAGACTAGAAAGAGAGGAAGATGCAGAGTGAGAGAAACAACTTGACTGATATAGAAAACCCCACCAGGCCAGAGAAAACAGACAATGCCTCAGCTATCAGTCGGAAGAGAAAGAGATTTGTTCTCTCCCGTCCAAAGGGGTAAGTACAGAACACATACATTAAAGCCAGAAACTTGTATGGTAGCATTTCACATGTAACATTTTTGACTCTGCTAGCCACATTCCCATGAAACTTGTAATGGATGTTCACAGAAACCATTATTCCTGACCTTTCCTCCTGAAGCACTCAGAGGCCAAATTTCAAATTTAAATCTAATGAGCTGATTGAATTTAGACATTCATGCTCCCAAAAGGCTGAACCCTTTATATTTTGAATTCTCCATCAGCATTCC